AATGACGGTATGAATTTGTATGTGTTGTAACTTTGAACTGAAGTTTGGGTTGAGCATTTTTCTGTCTTTAATCAGATCCCCAAATTCGAAATTGCTAATTGTGAAAAAGACGATGAAGTTTTCGAGTTGGTTTCAAGAATCTGATATAAATTATTTATAGGCTAAAGTGAAGACTTCCATTCAAACAAGCTGGGTAGTGTTCATGTGAAACCAAAAAACGAATATTCAAATTGGTTTCAAGAATCTGATAGAAAATGATNATGTTTTGGCAAAGTTGGCTGACAATGTGAAGTGTAAGGTGGAGATCAAATGAGTTTGGACGGTTGTGATTGTCACCTGAAAAATGGGCACCAAAATGGAGGTGAGGGCTGGGAAAAAATTCACAAGCCAAAATTTTTGTCCCTCTCCCACAAACATTTTCTCTCTACCATTTCCCCCAAATCTATTCTCCAAAACTGCAAACTTCACAGCAATTGAAATTACACAAAATCATAACCCATTTTGCGCGGATTATGCAGCACACAGGTACATATACAGAGATTGAAATTGGACGACAAGTTGCTTGTTTCTTCCACTCCAACCATGTCCTCCATCTTCGGAATCGGGTCTTTGCAAATGACGGTAAGAATGTGTGGTTTTAGGGTGAACTCTACCTCCGTCCGAGATTGGAGTTGTTCATAGGAGCCATTTAATATGGTTTTATGAGGCTTTCTTTTTTTGTCATGTATGATGTATTTCAAAGATATGTCCAAGGTCAAATTGAGAATTTTGTAATGTTGTCACTTGGTCATCAAAACAGGTTTTTGAAATGTCTTTTAAATGGATCTATTAGAGGGGGTACTAGGATTTAGCCGTCCATCTGAACAAGTCTCGCCGGATACTGTACAAGGAAAAATATATAAAATGATATTACATCTCTCAGGATCCGTAGAAGTCCATAGACGAATTTTAAGATCTTGCAAAGGTCACTAAAATAACAATACTAAGATCATGAGCACTATGTATATTGCATTTCAGGTGAAGGTATTGAGTGCATTAGGTTGTACCTTGTAGAATTCTACACATGGTATTTGAATTCTCAATTTTGACACAGCATCAAGTCTAACATGAGATATGCTTCCATTTACAGCAGTTCTCTCCCATAGTAACTTCATTATTAAAAGAATACTCCCAGATGCCTGCATAAATACAGGTTATAGCTATTAGAGACATTGGCAACAGTTTGTTTGAAATAAAATTCTTTTAAATCTTACCTTGTAATGTCATCTCTTATAGAACTAAGAAGCTCTGCATGATCTCTCATTGTAATGTCTTCTGGGCTGACAATCGGTGCAGGCAAGCATATAAAGAATTCGAGGATGTTGTGACATTTAATACAACCTACCTTACTAATAAGTATGATATGCCCTTCGCTCCTTTTATTGGCGTAAATCATCACGGACAATCAACGTTACTTGGTTGTGGTTTGCTATCGAATGAGAACACAGATACATTTGTGTGGTTGTTCAAGACATGGTTAAAGTACATGTATGGTGAAGCTCAAATCAAGACAGAGCGATGCAAAATACAATTGAGATAGTTTTTCCAAATACTAAACATATACGGTGTCTTTGGCACATATTGAAAGAGTTGCCTGAAAAGTTTGGATATCATGTGGATAAGGCTTCTATTTTTTCGAACATACATGTCTTGGTTTATGATTCACAATTTGTCGATGAATTTGAGGAAGGTTGGAGAGTGATGATCGACACGTATGACTTACGTGATGATAGTTGGTTATCCGGATTGTACGAAAACAGAGGTCGTTGGGTGCCATGTTTTTTGAAAAAAAAATTCTGGGCTGGTATGTCAACAACTCAAAGAAGTGAAAGTATGAACGCCTTTTTCGACGGTTACGTGCATTCGAAGACATCGTTGAAGCAGTTCGTCGAACAGTATGAGTGAGCGCTAAGAAGTAAGGTAGAAAAGGAATTTCAGGCTGATTTCAGGTCTTTTTCTCAAATGATGCCGTGTGCAACCACGTACGAAATGGAGAAACAATATCAAGAATTGTACACCCTATCGAAGTTCAAGAAAGTTCAGGTCGAATTTACAGGTAAGGTGTACTGTGACCTCATCTCTTCTTCAGAAGGACATCAGGGGACAACATATTAAGTATGTGATGACGTTGTATGTGGCGAGAGACGAAGGAGGAAAAATTTTCAGGTTGCATTTAATAGAGAAACAGAGGTCGTCATATCCAGTTGTCACCTGTTCGAATTCCGGGGTATAGTATGTAGACATGCGATTGCAGTATTGATCCGCAACCAGGTGGCTGTGATGCCAGATAGGTATATACTGCGCAGATGGAGGAGGGACGTTAGCAGAGCACACACGCGGGTCGCCGTGAATTATGCTGGTATGGTTAGTACACCTGGATAATTGAGGTATGATGATATGTGTCAGGCATTTGCTACTGTGGCAGATCTAGCTGCGGATGATGAAGGGAGGTATCGGGCTATCATGGATTGGATACAACTTCAAAACAAAGAGCTTAGGTTGACAAAGTCGAGTTCCGATAGTAACACAAATGTACAGCCTATTGTATCTCACAATCAAAGCATCGAAACTGTCAAAGATCCCATATCGTCGAAGAAAAAAGGAGCCCCGAAGAAATTGCGGAGAAAAGGCGAGCGCTAAGAAGTCAAAGGTATATTCGTTCGAATAAAAAATATTTGTACTCTTTTTTTATGGTAATAAGAAAAAAATTTCATTTTTTATGCAGGAAAGATCGAAGAGCATAGTAGGAAAGATTGTCCCACATCCTCAACCACATCATTCAATCCCAGTGCCAACGCCAGTTCCAATGCCAATGCCAGTACCAATGACAACGCCTTACTCGTTTTCAGAACTCCTAATGGTAGGTATATTCAGTTAAAGATTTTTGAATAATCGGGTTTTTATGTACTGTTTTTATAAGTAATGCCAACATGATGATGTAGGGTCACGGTATGAGCCAGGTGTTCACACAACAAATGCCGTCGTCCACATTCATCAATAACAACTTCTTCACAAAATTCAAATTTTTCAATGTTATCATTTCGAAAACATCCAAGTTTGTCAAGTATTAAAAGTCCATTTTCACTAATATGGTCAAGCCTTTTATACTAGATTAAAGACTTATCACAATAGGGATTCACAGTTGCAGAGATATTACCAACCAATGGTTTAGCCTGCAAAGTGAAAATCTCATTCACTTTGGAAGTAGATAAAACTTCATTGCTATTCAATTTGATTTTGGTAAAACCTTTATGAATTCTTATACCACATTCATCATCTAATTCACCTAAGGAGATCTGATTTCTCTACAGATCAAGGACATACCTAGTTTCAGATAATTCAAGAATATGAATTATTTTCCAATAAAAGGTTAAGTCTCACAATCCCTTTTATTTGACATCTCATATCATTTCCCATTTGAACTTTTCCACCATTCAAGTCAACAAATTCAATAAACCATTCTTTTATGGGACACGTGTGGAAGGTGTGGTCAAAATCAAGAGCCCATTCATTTGAGTTTCTTCTGGCACAAGTACAACTCCTTGCATTTCAGAGTCATTGTTACAAGCAATAGCTCATGAATGAGTTTGATTTCTCTTTCATCTCAAAAGTTTTCTTGAAACAATCATTTATGAAATGACCAATTTTCCCATAGTAATAGCATTTCCTGCCCTTATTCTTAGGTTTTCCTTTGTTCTTGTTCTTATCTTTGAACTTATCATTCTGTACTTTCCCTTTCTTGTAAGAGTTATTAAAATTATCACTCTTATTTTGGTTCATTTTTTCTTTCACATTCAATCCCTCTCCACTCTTAGCATCCTTAAAATCAAATTCAGTTCAAGTTCTCTATTCCTTATATCTAAAGTTATGATGTCCACATTGAGCTCTTCTCTCCCATACTCTAGCGAATTTGTGATTTCCCTATACTTATCTCCTAAAGAATTCAATAGGGCCACAACTTACTGATCATCAGACAATTCGTCATCAAAGTTAGTTAAATTTTGAATCAATTTTTTAAACTTATCAATATTTTTTTTCTAGACTAGAGGAAGAATCAAACCTAAAGTTATAGAATTGTCTCGATAGATAACATTTATTAGGCATTGTCTTAGTTAGATAGAGTGTTTCGAATTTCTTCCATAATGCCTCAACTAAAATTGTTTCCCCAACTTTCCTTATCACACTATCAGACAGGTGAAGGAAAATTGAGCTCTAGGCTATCTTCCACCACCACTGGAAAAGGCCACGCACGAGTAACAACAGGTTGTTGTCGTGCGCAGGAAGCTATCTACGTGGAGTGTTTACCTATTAGCCACATAATCTTCACAAAAATTGTGATCTAATACAAGTTGATAAAATATGTGAAATAAAAATTGTGAAATCTATGTAGCCCCTGTTTGGTACACATTAAAATTTTCATTCTCATTCTTTTACTCATTTTCAACCTCACATTCTTCAATAAAATAATATTTTCTATCACATCAATAACTTTTCCTTCTTTTTCAACCACAAATCCTCCAACAATCTACTATTCTAGAATACATTCTTCCAAAATAATGTGGATCAAACACATCCGTAGTATGTTATTTAACTTAATTGTTAACTTTAATTTGAATTAAAATTTAAATTTTACTCACTATCAAACGGGGCTATAACTTTTTGTAAGAAAAAAATTATTTGTTTGCATACAAAGCGATCAAAAATTATGCTACACAAATATATTCAATAACAAGGTTAAAAATATGGGAACACGTAAAAAGAATAGTTTGAAAAAAATAAAAAAAAAATTTACCACACGGCAACTCATCACCTGTCAAAGAACATATTTGCCATCTGTGTTTGAGTAGGCATTACTGTTTTTGAAAATCCTTAATCCCCAAGAACAGGTCAATCTGATCCACTTTTTCCCTACAGTCTCATTTTATTCTGCTCTCACTGGACACCTGTAAACACCACCCCAAATGCTCCGAGTTCTCAATGTCAGACGCTCCATCCACTCCCTCATCCGCCCCCTTAAACCTTCGGTCACCACCTCCAATGCCGTCCACCGCCAATTTTCCTCACTCTCCAACCCACCGCCACCCTCCTCTTCCACCGATGCGGAGCTTCGTAAATACCTAGGTTACACCCTTCTCCTCCTTGGCTGCGGTGCTGCTACCTACTATTCCTTCCCATTCCCCGAAGATGCGAAGCACAAGAAGGCCCAGCTCTTCCGCTACGCCCCGCTTCCGCCGGACCTGCACACAGTCTCCAATTGGAGCGGTACCCATGAAGTTCAGACGCGTACCTTCATCCAGCCTGAAACCCTCGAAGAGCTTGAATCTGTAGTTAAAGATTGTAACCAAAATAAGCAAAAGATACGGCCTGTGGGGTCGGGCTTGTCCCCAAATGGCATTGGGCTGACGCGCGCAGGGATGGTCAATTTGGCTTTAATGGATGGGGTTTTGGAGGTGGATAAAGAAAAGAAAAGGGTGAGGGTTCAGGCTGGGATTAGGGTCCAGCAACTTGTGGATGGGATTAAAGAGTATGGGATTACATTGCAAAATTTTGCATCTATAAGGGAGCAGCAGATTGGTGGTATAGTTCAGGTGATTATTTAAGTTCAATTGTGGTTCGTCTTTTGAATTAATATGATATTTTTATTGTTGGGCTATATTTATTCTTGCTTCAAGTTGTATTGTTACTTGCATGGTGTACTTCCGATCAAGAATGTATGTGAAGATATGATTGGTGTTTGCCTCAAGGATTGCCTGTCTTTTGCTTAAGTAACATACTTAAATATTTTTTGTCAGTATTCAGGTAGATGCTAAAGTTGAATTAAGGTGGAGGTTATTATTTTTTGTTTTAATTTAAAAAATGGTTGTGCTTAGACTTGTGTTGAAGTTCTCATGAAGCAATGTAGTTCAAATATGTAGGTGATGAACGAATTTTTTAATTCATGCTTCGCAGATCAACTAAAAGGCCTTTTCTGTTATTCTAGTATTTTCTTTGTGTCTTGGGAGGTTTGTGGAGAAGGATAGATAAGAAAGAGAAGCTATAATTCACTTATTTTGCTAATGTTTTTGGTAACATGTAATTAGTCAAGGACATTGACGGATCCAGGCTATTGAGTGAGTTACGGCGGTCATTGACCGTTGACACCGCAATAGTAAGATCGTTTATTAATATTTAATTAAATAATATTTAAAAAATTTGATCTATATATAAATGTACTAAAATGTAAAAGTCATATATATTTGAAAATGCAACCCAATATAACCCAAAATAATAAGAAAAAATACATTTTTCAATCATAGAAGATTAAGTTTCAAGTTTTACGAATTTAAGTGAGACAAGATGAAGTATATACGTAAAACATGATTGAGCGGTAAATACAAGCGCCAAGCTTATGCAAAAGTCATGCAAAATTTTGAAAACAATGATTTTTGGAATTAGAACTATTTTTTACCCCAAAAGAAAAGTGTTTTTCGAAATCTTAAAATTATAAAGAGCTGTTTTTAGATTGTCCAAATTTGAATTTTATAATATAAATTGATTAAAGTTAATAATAGAAGTATCTGAAGTAATAATTTGAGTCAATACAGTTTTTTAAAGAAATTATTTCGAAAACAAAAACTAATAATATATAATTGTTTAGTTATTATTTATTGTATCAAAAAATTAACAAAAAAAGTGGATGGGCATAGAATTGAACCCGATACTTCTTACATACAAAGTGACCCCTCTACCATACAAACTATCCTGTCTTTTGATGAAGGTTAGTACAATTATATGTCAATATTTAGTTATTATTTAGTGTGTTCAAAAATTAAAAGGTTGGTCAAGGACTCTTTTAACCTATGGGGCATTTGTATGTTTATGAAGTTATTAGTGATGTTCTATTTTTAAGTTGCTTTTAGGCTTTTTATGTCTTTGGCTCATGTGTATTGCAAACCTTCAGATTGGTGCCCATGGCACTGGTGCAGGGCTACCTCCTATTGATGAGCAGGTCATCAGCATGAAATTAGTTACTCCTGCTAAGGGTACTATTGAGATTTCTGAAGAGAAAAATCCAGCACTTTTTTATCTGGCTCGCTGTGGTCTTGGAGGACTTGGTGTAGTTGCAGAAGTCACTCTGCAATGTGTCGAGAGGCTGGAGCTCGTAGAGCACACATTTGTATCAAACCTGAAAGAGATAAAAAAGAATCACAAGTAATATTCGTTTTCTTCACTTAGTAATGAACTTTTTCTTGATCACAATAACTTCCTCCAACAAACAATGGTAATTACTTTATTTGCTTACCATGAAATGCTCATATAAAAGATGTTGAAGAGAAAGTAAAACATGTTTTTTTTCTCGGATCCTGAATTTGTTATGTTTATGTGATGAACCTTATACTAGAATTAGTTTACATCATTCTTGACTAAATCATAATCAATTTCATCTTGTGATTATTCACTTATCATGCCACCAGAAACAATGTTTGAAATAGGTTTAATGTAGTTTCTATTTCTGTTAGTTGAAACATTTAAAAGTCAATCCGTAGGTTGATTTTGCCGATTGACTTTGAAGTGAAAGTCGTATTTTGTTCTCCTGGGTTGTTTTTTAGCTTCCTGCATCTTTCCATGCATGTAGACCTTGCGAGTCTTCTTTTATTATTATTGTGTGTCAATGGACTTTCATATACTAGAACTGCCAGTCTTTGTACAGTAGTAGGTTTAGGGGTGGCAATGTGCTCGGCTCAGCCCTTAAACACACAAGCTCGGCACATGTCCGAAAAAATCCTACTCGGTTCGGTCCTTTGCCTCGTGGGCCTCGTGGGCTCTGCCAAGCTGTCTATGAGACATCTCTTTTTCTTTTCTTTTTTTTTTTGCTCTAAAAATTATTGCAACCTTACTTCTTTATTCAGGCTTGGGACCGACTACTATTAACAGTGTTAAAATTGTATACAAACAAGATATTAGGTGTCCAATTTCTTTAAAAAGTCAAAAATAATATAAAATAAAATTAAGTTAACTAAACAACACTTACAAATTATGAAGTCAAATCTTGAAAATCTTAACTATTAATTGGTTGTATCCCATTTCGAATTAATATATGTAAGTAAGAGGTAGAATAATATGATTTATACTAGAATTCTACATAAATAACTCAAATAAGTAAATTTAGATAGAATTAAACTTTAGACAGCATAAGAAAAGAGCTTATGGAGCTTATAATAATTGTAAATTGAGAGGTAGAGTTGTGTGGAAAAAATTAAGTGGGGGTTTGTAGGAAAAAAGGATCTGTAAATATATATATATATATATATGACCATTGGGCCAAGTGGTCACGTGATCATTTTTCCACCCAAAACGGTCAAATATATTGGCCCACGAGCTTAAGACAAGCATAGTCATGAAAAAATTCAAGCTCGGCTCAGCCATGGTAGTAGGGTTATGCTCGGCCTCGCCTAAATGGGCCGAGCTGAGCTGGGGAACAGCTTTGTCCGTTTACCACCCTAAGTTAGGTTCTAGTATAGAAGCTCCGGTTGTGCGTCCTCTTCTGGTCAATGTTGTTCTGGCCAAATGAAAACTAGTTGAATCTGAGGAAGATTGACACTCTATACAAGATTATCTAAAAACATTACAAGTACCAATAGACAGTTTAACGACAGGACCCCATTTAATGGATACTGTGGCAATCTCTGGTCAATTTGGTGTCCATTGCTGATAATTAAGTATAATTTTGAAATATTATGAAATACATGTTTTCAAATTTCTTGATTTCTTGCAAATTGAGTTAATTCCACTAATTTTTTAATTACAGAAAACTTCTATCTGAGAACAAACACGTGAAGTACTTGTATATTCCGTACACTGACACAGTTGTGGTTGTGACGTGTAATCCTCTTTCAACATGGAATGGTCCACCAAAGTTCAAACCGAAATATACTCAAGAAGAAGCTATAGAGCATGTCAGGGATCTCTATCGCAATTCACTGAGGAATTATAGGTAAAATGATTGTCTTTCATTGCTTGTTAATTGGTTCTTATGAAGTTTATCTATTGACTAATTCTTGCAATGAGAAGCTAGTAAAAAATCGATCGACCTAATCTTTTGGGATGAAAGCATGGAAAATATAATCAGATTTCTTTTGTTTTTATATACTTTCACCTCTGCTTATCATATTTGTTTTGATTTCTGGCTCATGTTGACAAATAAAGAAAACACAATTGAAGAGAAGATAGTGAAAAAAAAAACTAAAATTTATAAGTTATATTATCTTCGATATATATCTCTAGTTGTTTTTTTCAGATAATTGATACCATTATCATCAGGAAAGAAGCAGTTACAGATAATATTCCCGGAGAAAATGAGCCCAACATAAATGAACTTTCATTTATGGAAATGAGAGATAAGCTACTTGACTTGGATCCTCTCAATAAAGACTATGTGATGAAGGTCAATCAAGCAGAGGCTGAGTTCTGGAGAAAGTCGGAAGGATACAGAGTAGGCTGGAGTGATGAAATTTTGGGCTTTGATTGTGGTGGCCAACAATGGGTTTCAGAAATTTGTTTTCCAGTTGGAACCCTATCTAAACCAAGCATGAAAGACCTGGAGTATATTGAGGAATTGATGCAACTCATTGAGAAAGAAAATATACCTGCTCCTGCACCTATTGAACAGAGATGGACAGCATGCAGCAAAAGCCTCATGAGCCCAGCTTATAGCTCGTCCGAAGATGACATATTTTCTTGGGTAATCTGATCATATCTAATGCTCTGCACTGACTCTTTGAAAATTAGTTATTTTGTTTTGAACTTTGTAGTTGATCTGCGATCACTAGTTTAGACACACAAGTAAAAGCAGCATTTTGATTGGAACCTTTTACCTGACACCATCCTTCAAATATCAATCATCTGTGCCGATTTATTTTCCAAGATACTTCCCTACCATAGAAGGAAAGAAATATGGTCATTGGCTGATTTAAAACTATCAAATCGAAGGTACATGTGCTGCTGTGTTCCCTCTGGAACTTTTATGTAGTCCGTCTTCCAATATACAGTGGACATGATGTGCATCCTTTTATGTAGCGAAATGCAATGATAATATCCGTGTTTCTCTAGTCCTTTCTGTTGTAGATAAAGTGTTGTTTTCTATAACTTATGCTTGCTGCTTGTATTTTTAATGGCATATCATAATAACTATAGATTCTTACTCTTTGAATTGCATTTACCAGGTCGGTATAATTATGTATCTTCCTACAATGGATGCTCGCCAGAGGAAAGAAATTACAGAAGATTTCTTTCACTACAGGCGTTTGACGCAAACAAATTTATGGGATAAATATTCAGCTTATGAACACTGGGCTAAAATTGAGGTATAAATTGCATTTTAGAATGAAGCTGCTCAAGTTTAGGTCTCTAAAGAAATTTCATCTGTAACAAGTATAGGATGCTTGAATGCTTTGATATTTATTGATGATAAATCTTTCTAAAGAAGTTATCTTGACATTTTTTTTTATCTATGGGTGTTTGTACACGATCTTCAATGCTTATCGGACAATATCTAGTATATATTTGATTATAGACGCGGAAATGAACGGGTGAAGACTTTCCAATTTTGGCTTAGATATTTATATTTGCTACTGCATGAAGATGAATTTGGAATAGAATATTGCATAAACTCGTATTGCCATGCAAGCAGGTTCCGAAGGACAAAGATGAACTTGCAGCTCTGCAGGCAAGGCTAAAGAAGAGATTTCCCGTGGATTCGTACAACCAAGCACGAAAGGATCTGGACCCCAACCACATTCTTTCTAACAATGTGCTGGAGAAACTGTTTCCTCTTTCTGATACAGTTCAATAAACATCAGTTCTTGGTCAGTGCATAATCTACTGTACACTAAGTATTTTTGATACATGAATGAATATTTAGCCGTTTCACAAGTCTGTGATCCAGATCTACTTAGCCATGAAATTCAGTTGTACATTACATTGTTAAAATTACAAGCCCTGACATATTGATAAGCCCCTTGTATTATGCTTGTTCACATGATTGATGCCTAATAGTGGAAGCAGGAGAAATTCAAAGCCTGGTTAATAGTACTTGTTATCATTTAGATGTATTTTAATGGAAAGTCTAAAAAATAAAAGATATGGAAAGTTCATGTTGTAAACAAGGAAAAATATAATTTTATTGGTAGTATGATAATTAGCTGATAAAACCAACCTCAGGCAGTTTCATAACATATAATTAATTACATAGCTGTGGATAAAATAAACAAACGCCAGCTGCAACACACTGGAAGTTGACTGCTTTATATATCATAACTCTTCTATTTGATCACAGCATACTTCACAAAGCCAGCAGCAACACAATCCAAAGAGGCTGCACAGATGAGTAGTGTTAATCGAAATGAAAATGAATCAAGATGTGTAAATTTGTCATAAAGGCTGATTGAATAAGCTTACCATCCCTCGAGGAAACCCCTCTACCCTTTCGGCTTTGATCGTGACCAAAACTTCATCTTCTTTATCTTCTCCGTTGGAGGATCCTCAGTTGGGTAACCTGCAAGTAAGAACTCTGTTAGAAGTCTAGTAAATGAGTTGATATTTGTGCATGTGGAGGAGGTGGGCTAGTGCTTGTTTTAACCAAACACTGCCCTTTGTTCTCTTCTTGTTAGTGTTTATGGCTCCCATGAAAAATCATCCTGTTCGTGCTTTAAAAGAAGCTACGTGTTCATGTGCATGTACTTGTCTGGGAGAGGGAGGGAGAGAGAGAGAGAGAGACCTGGTGGAGGTTGATTTACTTGGTTTTGCATTTTTGGATGAACAGCAGCTCAAAGTTAGCTCTAAAGGATACAAGAAAAAGGAGTAGCAGCATATATTTTAGTTGAATGGAATGGATCTAATCTAGAATTTGCCTGTCCATCAGTGATCAAACTGGTACTGATTATAGTCAATTCTCACTGTTTAAATTACTATACTCAGACATTAACTGCCTAGATTATCTTTTGAAACAATTATTTGCATGTTAAGATTAGGATTAGAATATAATATTAATATTATAGATAATGTTTAAAAGGAGAGGCAATAACTTCACAAGAACCATGTGGAACAATGATTTCTTGCAAAGGAGGATGTTCAGACTAAACTGTTTCTCTAGAAGAGAGAGTCCAAGTCTTTTTTGAACGATTTGCTTTAATGGAAGAGGACTTTGAGGGCTTTGAAATTCTTTTTCCGAAGACTTTCAAATTAACCCATTCAAAGAAACTTAAATCTTCTGAAAAGTTAAAAAATTCTTCCCAATAAGTTTCAAGTTCTTCTTTTGAAAACATTTTTCGAAGATTTCTTCGAAAAGCTTTAACAGCTGGAGTTTGATCAGTTTTAAACTCATTTCTTCTATCAATAGAAGAAATAACATTGAGTTGTCTACCAAGTTTGTCATTTGAAGGAGGTAACATATCTGATTTAGTTGGAGATTCTGGATCAGATGAATATTCAAATTCTTCTTTAGATTCTGAATATTGAGTTTTTGGAATTTCAGGAGTAAAATTCACATTTCTAAGTTTAGAAAATGAATTTCTTTTCCTTTGAAGAGGGATTTTTGGAGATTCTTTTGACACATATGTAATTCTAAATGATCTAGATCTAGTTAGTTTTTCAAAACTAACCCGAACACTTCCATCAGGAAAATAAGTAATTCTTTGAGGAATATTTTTGACAGGATGTGAAACTGGAGTTTGAGCATCCTTAAAATTTCAAGATAATTCTTTTTCTTGAAGATTCCAAGGAATTCTTTTTGGTATAATGACATTTGAATGAAGTGGATTCACTTCAACCAAAAGGCTTTCATCTCTTGGTGAAGATCGAAGGGCACGTATATTGAGTTGAGTATTGAGAAGCTTATAATATACTCTGTATATTAAAGCAAAAGCTTTTGAAGAGTCATCAACTTCAAAATTCTTAGTTTGAATTTTTAGATTGAGGGCATTCAGAATAGTTCCATCTTGAAGGCTAACTGAAAAGTTTGGATAACAGTGTGAAAATACTGGACCACTCTCGAGATTAGACTCAAGCATGGACAGTAAAGAATGTTCAAACTTTAAGAGTCTCTTGTCTCTCAAAGTTATACAAACAGGAATGTCAAGACCAAGTCTAAACAAAGGTTTGACAGCAATTTGAACAAGACCAATATGAATATATTGAAATTTCTTTCGATGTTCAAGAATAGCTTCCTTCGAAAGTAAATTGAATGAAGTCATCTGTTCCTTAATAGGAATAGTTTTCTCCATAGTTTTAATAACAAAATTTTGAGAAAAATCAAAGGTACCTATTTCATAGATAGAGCTTTTTTCTACCTTTGGAATAGTCCAATTTTGAAGAGTTTGTTCAATTTTTGCAATTTGAAGTTCTTTTGTATTGATATCATTTGAAATGTTTGAAGAAGATGATGCAGATGCATGCTTATCAATTTCTTCTTTATTTTCTGAAAAATATTTTGACATATTATTAACATCTTTTGAAGTGCTACCTTTACTAAACCAATTAGACATGAAAGACATCTTAAAACAAAATAACTTTTGAAACTCCTCCTCCTCCTCCTCCATTTTTGTAACGGACTTCTCCAATTCAATCAATTGAAATTTTTAGCCGATTGCCTATTTGGGAAAAAAGTGGAAATTACATAATTCCAGGTGTTTGAAAATTAGAATTCAAAAATTAAGGACCAAGTTTTATTATTCAAAAGTCAGGTATGAATATAATAATTAAATATCTACACCCAATTCAATTTCAAACCCTAACCATTTCATTTTATTCTTACCCCCACTCACTCTCCATCTCTCTTCTCCCTCTATTCCTTTCCCTCTTCTACGTCGCTGTCGGAACATGCCGCCGGAGACCTATCCCATTTCACTTCAGTCATTGCCACCCGTAAGTAGCACCGAGGCGATCTGTACCATGCAGCGCGGTGGGTGCGAAATCTCCTCTCTCACTCTTCCTCTCCTCAACGAGATCTGGTGGGTAAGCATCATCGCCCCTGTAGTAGCGGCGCTGAAAAATTACCGGGAACAAACCACAGCATTCATTCTGTAAAATTACTGGGCACAAACCATAGCATTCATTCTAGTAATAGCAATGATGTCGCGTCAAGAGATGGTGGTAGTGGTGGTGTTTTTGTCACAGATTGTAAGGCAGTTTTGGTGGCAGTTTAGGTTGTGGTGTAGGTGGAGGTGTTGAGGTGGTAGCGGTGGCGGTGGCGGTGGCGGTGGCGGTGACGGTGGCAGACTTGATTATTTGTTGGAGGGGTGATGGCTGTGGTGTGGACCGTGTGGTTGTCTTGGGAGAGGGGTGGATTTTGGCAAGCGACAGTGGTGCTGTGGTGTGGTGGTGGTGCTTTGAAAGGTGCTGTGGGTGTGTTCGTGGTCTTGCGGGCGATGGTGGTGGTCATGGCGGTAGTGAGGTGAGATGAGGTGGGTTGGATGCATGTGGCCAATAATTGCTTAATTTGTAACATGTGATATAAAAATTGTGACGGTGATGGTGGATTTGGTGCGGTAGTGATGGTCTTGTGGTGTTGGCGACGACCGCAGGGTGAGGGTGGTCGTAAGTGGTGTGGGCGGTGGTATGTGACCTAATTTTTGGTGTATGTGACCGATTATTTGGTTATCTGTTATCAGTATTAAACTGTGATCTTAAAATTTGATAACTTATTACTGAAATATATATTGTGACCAATAAATTTAAAAATTTGTGACCGATTCATAATCTGTGACCTCTAATTTTTTTTATTTATGACCCAATGAAATAAACTATAACCTTTAAAAATTTTGATTTGTGACCTCGAAATTATCTTTGATCTATAAATTTTTGATTTGTGACCAATTAATTTGATAATATGTTACTTGTAGATAAACCGTGACCTATAATTATGTATATATGACAATTTATTGTATAATTGTGACATAATTAATAAATATTTTTAATTAATTAACTAATTAATACCTGAATTTTGAATTGTTAAACTATCTACCTGACTTTTGAATTAGTGTTAATCATACACCTGAATTTTGAATTTTTCCCTTTGGAAAATTTCCCAGTCAAAAATTTTAATTTCTCGCTAGACACCTAAAATTATTTAAAATCTGAGATGCAGCAAACATTTTTCAATAACTAGTCCCAAGTTCAAATAAAAGAAGAACGCATGTATTTATTGTGAAAAATGAACCAGAAATACACAAAAGTCAATATAGGACAATACAGTTTCACAAATTAGATGAAGAAACGAGAGGGGCCATTAATGAAGCTAACTAATTGTTAGTTCAAATGTCCAGTCTCCATTTATGGTAGTCTCTCAACACACAAACATTTTGTCCGGTTGCATAAACAATGTAATTTCATGTGCTTTTTGAGTTAATTTTGTTCGTGTTTTCAATAAACAAACAAAGAAAGTGTACTTTGTTTTTTGAGTAATGCTATTTAGTATCAATGATGTTAAAACACAAGTGTATACGACACTAATGTGACATTAAATGAGAGGTACAATTCAATGATTTACTTAATTGCACTTTTCATTGAGCTTATCACCGCCACGAAGATCGGTGTTGTACCACCACTGGTGTTAGATAGCATTATTTTTGTTTCCTGAGTTACCATCTTCTTTGCTTGTTTAGAGATGATTTTTCCATCTCTTGTGCACCCGCTCTTCTGTACGATGTTTTCTTTCCCACAAAATTTTGCAATAAAGATCTCAAGGCCTCGAAGGTTCTTGATGTAATAGTTGTTGGACTTGCAAGACAAAATTTAGCTCATATTTGGTTTAGATAAAAATTAGATTTTTAGTAGATTTTAATGAAAATTTATGAATTATGTTGTTGAAAAGTTTCAAGTTATGGATCTCATAAAATGTGGTTGAAAATAAGTTTTGAAAAAGTAAAACTCGAGAAATGGGGGGCTAAAAATTGGCTTAAAAATACATGTGTCGAGATAGGTGTTCGAGATAAGAGGGCACAAAAGACTTGGAAGGCTCATATACGTGTAAGTTGAGCGGCATATTTACACAACAATATATATACTATGTATTGGACATTTTTTAAGAGGTTATGACTCACTTGCATCCCCTTCAAAGGCTATCAATTTTCAATTATTTGTGATTCATGAAGATTTAATAGGTTATAAAGTGAAGAAAAGCAAGTGTGGATATTATTAGGAGCATTAAATGTGGTGAATTAAACCGTTCACGACTACCAATTTTTATTTGTACTAAAGTTACATTTTTCACTCAATATGATGAGTCATTTCTCACACGAACTAACTCGTCTAAATCGACGAACGAATCACATGAGAAATTTGCTGCTAAACTCATGCCCACAGTTCATCTCGAACACGAGCTAAGTCTACGAGTGTCTCGCTCAACTTAATATCCTTAGATATTACTTTAATTCCTTAAGGGAAATTACACTATCTTCTAGTGTCCAAACCAATCAACAAAATAAGAAAATGACCCCATTTCCTCACTTAAAAATGTTGTAGCCACTTGTATTCGTGTACCCATACGATTTTTTACGAAAGGCCAAACTTTGCACCATCTTTGCTCGTTTGAATTCTAGACTCGTAGCTCGTGCAATTCTATGGAAAGAAATGTAAGGTTCATTATGAGGTGTGCTAGCTCATAGATTGCTTACATTCGACCACTTCGTGCCATGTTAACCCAATTTATACCTAAACTCAGTGAAATCAACAAAACAATTAACCCCACAATTTGTGAGCAACTTTATACATTTCTTTGCTAAAATTTAATAATTTAGTTGAACATTTAAGAGAAAAAAAAAAGGTAGAAATGACTGGTCACTTGTCGAAAACTTGGACAGACTTCAAGAAAGTGCTAAAAATTACATAATTCAGTGGTTTTTCATTGCCTTTTTCTTATAAAAAAAGGGACAAGTTGCTTAGAAATGGTTAAAAGACGTGGTTAGCATTAGTTGCTTTTTATGTATTTTGGCAAATAGCCAAAATTAAATTAATTTATAACTTGGAAAAGCTCTTTTCAAGAAAATAAAGGCAAAAATCTTGAAAGTTAAGTTTCTCTTTCTTTTTAATATATATCATATAATTCATCAAATATTTTACTTATTTGTTTACACTTTTAGCTACAAAGGAAAATAGATGGTGACACAAATGCAGAAAAAAGAAATGAAAAAGAATTATACCCTTTAATATATAGGTAACGTGCTTATTTCCAATCATAAACATGAACAAAAATAAATTTATATTAAAACGACCTATAAAGTTGACTTATTCGAGAGTAAAAATATTCATTTATATTATTATATTTATGTATTAAACGTAAATAGGTAGCGGTGAAACTTGAACTCATGTTATTGTAGATTATTATACTACAAACTCATTTTGCTGAACAAAAGAAAAATCACTAATTTATTTATATTTATCTCTTTAGTAAGATATAATATTAAGAGTTAATATATTTTTTGTCTCTTCCTTTTTGAGGGGAATGCGTTTCATGACTTCATCTCTTTAGTTCAGTGGATTGAATTGAAAATTTAAATTAAACTTTTTTTTTATTTCAATTGGTATGATTGAAACTTCAAATATTTAATTAACTTTAAAATGTCATCAAGGTTAAGTTGGCATATAAAATGATAATTAATTATGGACAAGTATTTTCAGGATAAGAATAAAAAAGAAAACGGAAAGAAGTGCAGCATAAAAATATGGTAAAATATTTTTCTATAAGGGTGTGTTTGATTTCATTTATTTTCCATAGAAAATGTCGATTTTTCATCGAGATTCCTACTTTAAAGTGTTTGATTGCTACTTTTTTCGTTAGAAAATATTTTCCAAATTTGAAAAATATGCCTAATTTTTCTTATTTTTAAGGATTTTTTTTTTTTTTTNACTACAAACACCCAAAAATTTCATCTTTCAACAAAATGGAAATATGATTTGAAATAGAGAATGATGCTTCTACGTTAAGATTAGTATTTGCCTGCATGCCAATTGTCGAACGAATATATGAACTTTTATTATTTTCCTATTTAAGAATAACATCTCCGTAACCCTATTTATATGGTTACAAATGATCGCAAAAAGAAATATTTTATATTTATTACCTAATAAAATAATTCGACTACATAAATGAGAAATAATCGCAGCAAGCATGCTTATGAATTCTTGAAGTGAAGATAATTCAATAGGTCTAAAATCACACTAAAGAGAGACATAGCAAAATTAGACGTGGTAGTAAGATTTATTTACATCTTTTAATTAAAATAATGAAATTATGCTACATTAAAAGGTCTAGTAGTAAATTATCTAATTTGAAGTATTTGTTGTGTAAATGTCCAACCACAATTTTGTACTATCATTTTCCCTTAATGTGTCTATTATTGTATTTTCCCCATATAATTAATACACGTCATTTTCGTAATTGGACTTTTAATTTTTATTATATAATATCATGTTGAATCATCTTGTCTAAAAATTTAAACAATTAAATAAAACTAAGCCCTTGTTTGAGCTCCCCCTTTTCAATAATATATTTTTCTATAAATTCATTTTCAACAATATATTCTTTTAATAAAATACTTTCACACGTAAACCTAAAAAATATTCTTACTTTTCAACCACATATTCTCCAAAAAAACACTTTTTCAAAATCTAATTTTACCAAATAATGGGGGGCTAAATTTATTTAAATTTTCTCAAACTTCCAAGTCAAAATTTACATCTAAGTTATTTGCCTATTGAATTGTCAACATACCATTCTCAAAAACACATTCATTGCACTCAATCAAGGAGAACGATAAAATAAACGTGACCAAGAATTCATTAAAATTAAATATATCATTATGTCAACACATGAACCACAAGACAAACCAAAGAGATGACTACATGAAGGAATCAAGATTTAGATATCTTGTCATCACACTCATTGTTGCATTCTTGCAACCAAATTGCCCAATGATCTTTAATAAAATATGAAAGATTTTAAGGCCAATCAATTTATCACCAACAAAAAAAAAAAACAATGGCCTAATCTAGTGTCCTGACAATGTCCCAAAAAACCCGATTAACCCCACAAGCACAAGATACCAAATGATCCACTCTAGAAAATATTCATGTGGAGCAATAAGCATGAACCATAAAATAAACACAAAAAAATAATATTATGCATAAAATTAAACTAATCACTGCATACTAGTCGGTGTAAACAAATTATAAGTAAAAAAATTTAGTAAAAAAAAAAAAAAAACACAAAAGGGTCGGTGCTTGATTGGGGAGACAAATAAATTATGGGTCGTGGATATTTTTATTACATTATGGTACCAAGTAAAAACAAAATGAGTTGACAGGACAGAGGGATTGAAAAGATTGACCTGTGTCATCTCCATCAAACCAGAAAAAACTTGGATACTCAGTCTATTGTCCCATCCCATTGACAAAAAAATTCCATTCGTTGATACCCTAGAAAAATCAAGAACTTCCACCCGCATAAAAGTGTAACAAAAATTAATGGTGCTGATTCATGAATGCATAATAAGTATATAAACATCTCCATGAATGTTGAACAAACTTTTGAAAGCTAGTATAATCAGCCCCATTTCATGGAAATATTGTTCAAATAGAGAGAGAGAGGAATTGAAGTATAGTTGAGTTAATACTGATGATCATGGGAGTGATGGTACATGGAAAGGTCATGTCGATTCATGGCTTCTCTTTGGTTGTTATGGCCATTATCTTCTCCTTCATTGATTTTGCATCCCATTTGGGCTGCTGCACCAAGATTTAGATATACCATTCTTGAATCAAGGTTAAGGTTCGCCATGTTTCCGCCGCTTGTGCCACTGCAGGCATGATCTCCAGTACTCATTGGCGGGTAAATAGTGGCAGAAGAAGGCGCACTTGTATTTCCCTCCTCGCGGGAAATAACCATGGCAGCAGATTGGACTAGCTCGAGGCAAAGCCTCAATTTGTTTGGTTCAATGTGTGCGAGTCCTGGGACGGCCCCTTTGAAGAGAAAATCAGAAGTTAGGGTTCGAAGGACATCAAGGGGAGTGACACCATCCAAGGTTCGGACATTCGGGTCGGCGTGGTGGTCGAGGAGGACAGCCACCATATCGGGTGACACCATTTCGGCGGCAATGTGGAGTGGGGTTTTGCCTGCTGGTCCGGCAGGGTAGTTTACATCAGCTGCACCAAGTTCAAGCAATGCTTTTACCACTTCCCGGCTGCAATTCTCAACTGCATAATGTAAGGCCAATGCATCGTCAAGATTAAGGCCTTCTCCCATTACCATAAGCTTAACAAGTTCGACATCAGAAGAGTCGAGGGCTCGTCTCATTCGACGTATTTTTTGGTCTTCGAGATCAGCAGCAGCACCGCCAAGATCATGGTGGTGATGTCGGTGCTGGTGGCGGGGCATTAGGGAGCGACGGGCGAGGGATGACTTGAGGCGAAGCTCTTCAATCCTGGCTACAACATCAATAGGGAGGTGCTTGGCTAGAACTTCTGGTGGTAGGCCAGATTTTGCCACCAAATGGGAACACGTAGTCCATAACTGCTGCATATCTTGTTTTCTTGAAGCTATCAAAACTTTCATTACATCCTCAATTGAGGCCTTCCCTACCATATCTGCCAATTGCTTCTGCATTCCAACATAAAAAAATTGAAAAATTGTCTTACTTTATGACTACAATTAATTCTTGTCTAGCTCCCTTCTGCATTAATAGTTAGATTTGATTTCTGTCCTTGAACCCAAATGAGGAAAGTTAGGTTTTATTTGGACAAGTTTTGATGAGATCACTGTGGAAGACAAGACTAGAGATTAAAGAACCAAATGTGGAATGTTTTGAGAATGGATCATAAAGATAGTGAAATACAATTCAAGAAACATGTTCCTATGTAGTCTAGGATTAGAACTTGTCAAGTGACGGGGCATTTTTTATTACAGTTTTCACAGAAAAAGAAAGAACAAAACCATGTTATTCAATTTGATGAAACCACTGTTGTATAAGATGTTTCAGAAGAAATGAAAAGGATCACTAGTTATACAGAAACAAGAAACTACTAGATTTATACTGAAAGAAGAAACTACTAGATTTTATTGAAATAAAATTAATCCAGCAAAAGAGGGAGGTTCATTAAATAGTAAATATGAATTTTTTATCATCCTACTAACATAATTCAATTTTCTGCTTCATTTTTTCTTCTCCAAATCACCTGGAAAATGTTAACCAGGTCACCTAAGTCAAATAATTAGCATGTTTATCTATATAAATCAAAACCCACGAATTAAAATCTATTTGAGAGTACTTTAGAGAGAGGGAAATCAGCAGAAAATAATTGTGTGGAAACAAGAAAAACCTGAGTAAGCAAAGCGAGCTGTTCCACACCAAAGGATCTAGCGGCTACGAGGGTTTCAAGGGCAAGATCAACGGCTGCAGTGCAATGTGTGTGCCAACATCCTCTCTCCCCACAATTAGGCCTTGGCTCGTGCTTCTGGGGTACAACAGAGACTTGTCCACTGTACAAGAATTGTAGCATCAACAGGAAAACTTCATACCCCACTGAGTTCACCGGTATAACATGAGGGTTTCCCCCTCTCGGCGAAGATGCTAACCCCCCGACCTGGCCCGTCCTGGAACCCGATGCATCGAGGCCCGCCGGCGTGTCGGGCCCACAAAAGAATTTTCTGAAGAAGAGGCTTCTGGCAGCTAGGATGCACCTGTGGGCAGGGACTAAACGCCCCTCTACACTGAAAGTTACATCACTGAATGCCAGGCCGTTGATTAGGAGATTGAGATAGTCTAGAGAAAGAGATCTTAAGGAGTCTTCAGGGTTCATGGCGAAGTGTAGAGAGAGAGTAGAAAATGTTTTAGAGAGATTGCACTCCTGTGCGTGTTTCTGTAGATGATAGATATGTATAGTATAGGAGTAGAAGGTTCAGTTTTTAAGTGGAGGAGACGAAGAGAGAGTAAAAGCTTGGTGGCTTAATCATTCTTTTCTTCAACTCTTTGATGATTAACTGTTATTTCTTTTGAGACTCTCTCTCTCTCTCTTATGCAATGCAAATGGATGAGATTATTTTTTATTAAACAGTATATGAACATGCAAGAAACAGAGAAATATATTAATAAACATTATAGAATTCGATAAGATTAAGTTGACAAGATTTAATGAGTGGGTCCTTTATCAGATGCCTAATTACACAACAGGATCTTCCTTGGAATGGCCGTATTTATGTATGTATGCATGTTCCTTGACAGCTCTCTGATCTGATTAAATAAATCCCTTGAAAATATTAAATTTACACCATAATTTTTATTACCTACATTTTAATTGCGATGAATATTTCTAAGTTTTTCTTATTTTTACACTTATATTCTCAACTTTTTTCAAAAAAAAAAATTATTATCATCAACCCTATATTGATTTTCACGTCTTACCTATAGATACGATATTCGTTCAAAATGTTCGTTATGAGGGCTAAAAAGACGTATTTATCTCTCGTAGTTTTAAATAATTAAAATAATTAATTAATACAAAAGCTAAACAAAATATTTTCCTCTCTTTTCAATGCACCTTAGCAGAATATTTGGATAAAATCACGATTAAAGATAAATTTTGTTAATTAATTGAAAGTTAAGAATAAAAATACGATGACAAAAAAATTCATTAACATAAAAGCAAAAATGAGTAAATATTGAAATATTTTTTTTGTAATTAAACTATGGAGAAAATGTCATACATAAACATCCAAATTGACGCGGCAGAGTGGACAAATTTGATCTCTGTACTTCATGCAATGAGAGAAAAAATCGCTACATGTTTTTTTTTTTTTTTTT